AACTATCAGCATAATTATAAATCAACAGACGAATCAACCAAGCATGTCTTCATTTCCAATGAGTGGAACCAATTTTGTGAGAAAAAACGTCACTCTAAGCCTTCTGGTAGTCTTACATAAGTCTGAAAACAAATGGAAACGTAATCAGTGGGTTGTTGGAAATAAAAACCAGTGACAGCAGCCCTATTTGAGGCCTCTCTACTGAAAGAGTCAATATGAAACTGCTACAAGGTAAACTATATGCTAATATGTCTGTCACCAGCTTCAAGTAAAACATGTAATGTTTTTAGAAGCTTCAAATTTTTAATCTAGAACAGTCTTTTACGAACTTTCCATCCCACCTTAACTGGTGCAGCAGTTATGTTCTGGTGACTATCTGTGCCAGAATGTAACTGCTGCATTGTTTAAAGCAGAACAGAAAAATGTAATAAGTTCATCACTTATTCAATTTCAACTTATCTACTTTGTGTTGATGCAAATCACTGTCAACTTAGCACTAACAAACTACTAGAACCCTAAAGAGGTGCTAGCAGAAGTTAGCATTAGCACTGAAGTGGGCTTTTTCCTCATGTTTTGAATGAGTTTTGACTTTTATGGCCCAAAACCGAAGGCCCTTCTCTAAGAGTCACGTTTTGCCGTAGTGTTTAGGTTCTAATTGGCTCAATCATTACTTTGCAAACAGTTAAACAATAAAACGGGCTGTTTTTGTTACCATGCTTTTGGGACATATATAAATTACCTCTGTCCTGACTGCTGATCTCAATCATGTCATCAACACTGCATCAATATGTTTTTAATATATTGCAAGCCATATGCAGTTTGTAATATGTAGCAATATGAACACAGTGTAATATTTTGTATATACTGTGCACTTTGAATGAGTATTAATGGACTATAGGGTTATATCAGGTTAACCAGAAGGCTTAGCTACTGCTTTAATTCCCCCCTTTAAACATATAATTTTCAATGCTAAAATGTTAATTAGCTCCATTTTAGAATAAAATGTACCAAATATAACAGTATTCATCACTAAAATCTTCTATATTTCAATTTGAGTCCAACTTTTCACCTTGGAAGTTGAGGTGTTTTGTTGAGTGCAGGAGTTTGGGATTTCAGTTATTGCTATTAAGTTACCTCACTCTTGCTTTACTGTGCTTTGCAAGAGTTTTTACTGGGTGATGTCTCCACCTGTGGACAGAGAGAGCATTACACATGCAATTTTATATGCTACTTTATACTAGAAAAGGAAATCTTTACATCATACAGATCTGTAGTGCAGAGCAGACCAGGAATACTGAAGAGCTTGGCCTGCCAGTAGTTGAGTAAACCAACGTAACTCTTTCTAGGAGTAGACTCAGTGTCTTCGTAGACGGAGTCACCCACCTTATTAGCAAACTGTCATGGAATTTTTCTTCTTCTTCTTTTTCCTCTTCTTCCTTCTTCCATGCATGTGCGAGTCTTTTAGTTTCCATGAAATGTCACAGGATAACACCATTTTTCATTCAGGTTCCCATACAGTCTCTGTGGTCTGTACTACTTCTTCAAGAGGTTTTTGCTACTAACACCCCAAGGCAGACCTGGCCTTTGTTTTCTGTTCATCTACTCACTGGAAGATTAATGAAGACTGGGCAATTGATTGGCTATTATATTTTAAACCCATATTCCTAGGTATACGGAGGGTGGAGGAGTGAGTTAAGTAGCCCCATCCCATGCTAGAGAAAGGGAGTACAAGCAGTTCCTGCACTGTGAGACCAAAATACTGATAAGAAATACCTACAAAAAATGAAAGAAAGAAAGACTCTGTTCTCTGATATTTTGCAGTTTGAGTCATGTATGCTGGGTCCTGAGCCCTGATGCAAGCTGTAGGCAACAGAGGCAAGAAAGTTCCCCACAGGAGAGTCTGGAGCCAGAAGAAACGATACTGTATTTTCCTTTTTAACTTGATATTTGCTTCAGATCAAAAGAATATAATGCAAATTCTCTTGGGTATTGTAAGGGTCATTGACTCCAGTCCTAGAGGGCTAAAGTCCAGTTTATTTCAGTGATTTCAATTCTCAAACACACCCACTAAACCTGAAAATTAACTGACGAGAAGAATCAGGCGTTTTTGAACAAGGAAATCACCAAGCTGTACTCCAGATCCAGCACTGATGACCCTTAATGTACAGCCTGAGAGAGTGGTAGGCTGAGTCTAAGGCCTTCACTGATACTTTGTCAGGTTTCTTTGTAAGTGCCAATTCTAGGCAACCTCAAAACTGTCCACTGTTCCTACTGGAGTAATTAATGATGTGTGGGTTCTTGAATTATCCTCTGTTTACTATTTGGACAACAATATGTGTTTTACCCAATTTTTACACATAATATGTCCCAAAATATCCAGAGAGCTCATTAATTAGTGAACACAACAGTTAGTTAACACATCCTCTTCAGGGAACAAACTTTTTTTTTTGCATTTTTCTATAAATGAAAGTGCACAATTTCTATTTTTTTAACAAAATGGGAAAACATAAACACAAAATGTGCTTTCATACAGACCACATTTTAAGTTTTATTTTACCCAATATGTTAAATTCAGCAAATGAAGAGTATTTGTGCGTTACAATGTACAGAAGTGTGTTCTCTGTAGAGGACGTGTTATTACATATTTTCATTTAGAAAATCAATAAAACATATCATTTAACCAGGGGTGTTTAAACTTTTGCATGCAGCTCTAAAAAGGGACACTCTGGAACAGCTACACATGAGCCTAATGTCACCATGCCCAATACCAAGTGTCAGCTGGAGGGGTATAAAGCCCCCCAGCACTGGACTGTGTGAAGCAGTGGAATTGCTTTCTCTGAAGTGATGGAGCTCCATCCAATGTCTCTGAGATGACCTAGAGTGAAATGAGCTGTGGTCTGATTGGCTACCCCATATTGTGTCTCATTCAAAAAACAGTCAAGGCTGAAACACTCCTTAAACTTCAGTGTGAATAAGTGGAGGAAAAGTGCTATATGTAAGTTTCATGACATCACAAAACAGTTCATTCATATTGGACCGTTTTTGCAGCTCAGGTTCCATAAATAGCCCATATGAACTAGGGGTGAATGGTAGCTTTTGTAATTTTGATAATCTACATCTAACTTTATTATAAAAAGATTTTTCCCATAATATAGGCCCTTTAAAATGTTACCCATTGTAATGTTACGTGTCAGTGCCTGTGCACGTGTGTTTGTTTTTCTCCCTGCTCTGTTGCTCTTCTCCTGCTCTATTGGCTGTCTCTCTTCCATATAGGTTGCCTGGGAGGTCTATCACTTCCTGGACATCTTTTGGCCAATCAGCCTGCAGATTTGAGCCCAAGGAGGTGGAGCTTTGACTTTAAAAGCAGTGTGCCAGAGTTTGTCATCAGCCCTGAGTGTCATGTGACTGCTGTTGCAACTCTTGGCTCATTTGTTTGGTGTCTGGTTTACTGTTATCTTGACTCTCTCTGCCTTTGCTAGCTTTAGCCCTCTGCTAGCTTTAGCCCTCTGCTAGCTTTAGCCCTCTGCTAGCTTTAGCCCTCTGCTAGCTAGCTTTAGCTTTGTTAGCATTTGTCATCTTCTGTTGTTTGTCTGAGTGTACTGGTTTTAAAGTCTCTCAAACTGGTGCTTTTCTCCCAAGAGGAAGGGCAGGTTAGACTGTGCGCGCACCTACATTCACATCCGTAGGTACACGATTGTCTAAACACACTAGATTAGAGGCAGGTACCACTCCCTGTATGTTTTAGTAGCTTAGCATAGGGTGGTAGCTAGAGCTCTTTAGCTCTTAGTTTAGACTAGATCTGTTTTGTTTATTTCTTTCCTTTGGTACTGTCTGTAGTCCCCTCCTGGGTAGATTGCTCAGTTTGCCAGTATGACTATAACAACTTTTCATAACAGTACCCTGTTATTCGTATTGTAACTTGCTTGTTTGTGTTGTTTATTTGTCTGTGTAATTAAACAGTTAAAGCTTTAGCTGCTTTATACTGGTCTCTGTACCCCTTTATTGTGCTCCTCCATCCTTTAGTTACTGTCCCTACCTCCTCCTAGACCTGAGCCTACGGTAGGGACGTAACAGTAATTAGAATTATCTTCATCACAATAAATCATTGCAGAATTACACCTATTTTTCATTAAATATGTGAAATGCTTCATTCTAGAGAAACTTAGTAAGTCAGATGGGAACCAGATGTCTGATGGATTTCATGTTTTTAAAAGCTACCTCACAGAGAGTTATTACATGAAATGGTTATGAATACACCAGCTGATTACTGAGACAATGTTTTATCATAGTTTGTACAGTGGCCAAAAGCACAGTTCAATGAAAAATGCTGCAAACTCATGAATGTGATGCAAAGTCAGAAAACATTTACATCAACATCACTACTCTTGATCTGCATTTTTTACATTCAAAGCTGTGTTTGCTAATAATGTCATGAATAGCATTTTTGAGGTAAAATTGTCACTACTGGAACAGTCACTACCGAAACATTTGGTGAAGTTTCGGTAGAGTTTTGAGTGTTTTATTAGTGGCAAAAGTAGAATGTTCAATCAAATGTTTTAATAAAATAAAAATAATTAAGGTTTAGGGTCTTACACACCCACACACACATACATTATCTAAGCTGCTTATCCTCCTGGGTCACATGGGGTGATGGAGCCTATCCCAACTTGGCATGATATATGGTCACACAAAGCAAAAGGATTTTAATCTAAAGTCCCAGTCAGTTCAGTAGAATGATCCATATATAAATACTCATGTTTAGGTGTAGTTACACTGGAGGTGAATAAGGTGTCTATTTTTGTGTTGTAGGTAAATCTGAGTGGGTATGTTTCTCTACAATGAACCATTTCACATCAAACCACCCTGAATGACTTTGAATCTGAAGCACTCCCCAACAATTCCTCTTAAATATCCATCCCTTTATATTCATAATGTTGCAAATAACAGAAAGTACTCAGTAATGCAGGACTGATTTTAATCAGACATGTTTAGTGGTGATGCTTCTTGCAGTCAGAGAGAGCCTGGCACCCCAAGGAGGTCCTTTATTCAGTAGGGCGAGCTTTGAGTTGAGCAAAGCCCACCCGATCTTGACCCCTGTCAAAGACACTGTAGACCTGAGAGAGGAATACGTCCCCCAGAATCCACAGCGGCCCAAATAAAGATGTGATGTCTACTGCTTGGAAGCCACTCAAACAGACCACTCTGTCACCAACTACATCCTGAACAGGGAAGAGAGAGAGGGAGAGAGAGAGATGTTTAATGTTTATACAGGAAAAATACTAAAAGTCCAGAATTTTTTCATCCTAATCTCATTTGGATTTTATGTTTGATTGCCATGGACAAGAATTTTGGCAGGTTTCCCTGTACTTAATAAAAGAACAGAAGATCTATTGACTTTAAGCACATTTAGGCCGAAGCAGCTGGCAATCAGCTCCTATTATAAATGCGTTTTGTATGCTGTAGTTGCAGCTGATAGAGATTAGGTTGAAAAATGCTGGAGTATAAATTTAGTGAATTTTAAGTTGATGAAAAATCAATCTGTTTTATATTAGGCTGCAAGCAGAAACAGAAAAGACTGACGTGTTTGTATGCGTATACTCACTTTCTTGACGTAAGTTTCTCCAGTAAGAGAATACTCCACTCCGTTAAGTACAAAAGATATCACAGGCAGGCTGCTGATCCTAGAACAGTCTACCAGAAACTGGAATCCACAACAGAGTTTTAAATGACTAATATTAATTGAAGTTAATATGACAACATTTACAAAAATGTGGAAGATGATGGAAAGGTATCTTAAGACATGGCATATTTTTGAGATTTTTTTGCCAGGTCATTTCAAAATAACATATTTAAAAGGGTATCTAAGGGTTGCCTATACATTTTAAAAGAAAGTTAGGCTATTATTTTAACAGTATGATAACTCTCATTTTACAGGAGGACTCCAAAGTAAGTAATATAGAACATTGTACATTGAAGTCTGGAACACAAAAAGTTTTAACCCCTTAAAATCCCAGTCTTATTACATACTAAGGCTTATTATTCAGTAACTACAGGGACTTCAGTGCAAACTGGCTGAGCTATTCGTAGGTTATAGAAGTGTGTAATAAACCTTGGGTTTTGTAATAAAACCTGTCTGACAGTCTCATCTTACCATCACAGAGCCTATTTCGTAGTGTAGCTCAGCAGCACATTATGCACATTCACTTGCCTGTTTGCTGAGTAAATTAGCCTATCACAGCAAGATATAGGATGCAGGCATTATTAAATGCAGCGTAATCATACTCTCATTACCGACTGGTATCTACACTATTAGAAATAAAGGTTCTGTGCAGGTCCATTTTTCATTCATCAAGGTACAAACAAAGTAAATGTTCCCTAAAAGGTACAACAGTGGTTTTTAGGTTCAACTGTGAACCTTAAATAAGTTTCTCCAGGTGAAAAGTATAACCTAATGCTTTAAAACAGAATAATAAAATAAAAGCCTGGAGACGAGAGGGGGGTGTGGAGTCAGTACAACTTAGAATTACTTATTAATGACGGCTGACTGTCATTTGTTACTTGACCGTCGTTATGAATAACGTCCACAGACATTAGGTCTGCACTTCAGTGTGGATTCCACTGGCTTCTGAAATATAACTGAGCTTTTAGGACGCTGTTTTAATGTTTCTCCTCTTCAAAATGCATCCTTCTTCCCATCATTTCAGTTCACAGGTGGAAAATATGATCTTCTCACGGTAATTTTGCGTCACACAGTGATGTAATGCACATTTGAATCAAGTAAATTCACTGTATCCCTTTTTCAGTGACTGTAAACTTGTATTAAAGCATAGTAATTTAATGCTTGACTGTAAGCAGCTTTAACAGTGCAATATCACTGATAACACAGCACACAGATAGGCTTTTATTTCTTAAGCTCATGCCAGTCTTACCTCTCCAAAGGGAGTTGGTGTAGCTCCAATAAGCTGCTGAAGGATCAGGATGTCCATAGTCGGCCCAGCGATCAGAGACGTTCCCGTGTCAACAATTGCCTGGCAACTGTTAGCATCACCACTGCAGAAGGCAGTGGTCCCCTGTACCTTCACTCTGAAAAAGAGTTTAAGAGACAGAATATGGTGCCACTTACTGTGTGTTACAGTAATCCTGTGCTGTACTGAACTGTATATTGTCGCTAGCGAAACAAAAAATCTCAAAAATAGCCTCTAAATAATGCTCATGTTTTTCTAATAGGAGGGAAAAAGTAAGGCAAGCAACACAGTCAGTGGTGGTCCTTTAATGGTCCAACAACAGTCAGTAATTGAGAACTACAATAGGGGCAGTTTGCTAGCATGCCATTCAAAGCTGCTTTTAGTGTAAAATTATGCAAGAAATAAACAGACAAAATAGTCAATAAATATAGTTCAGTTAATGTAAATAATGTAAAGCAACCAACACAGTAAACTCACGCATCCATTTTGATCTGCCAGTAGCCTTTTACAGTGACCGGGGACCAGTTAATAGGGCGAACGAAAAGGTCTTCATCCACACCTCCCAGTAACAGCTCTCCCTCATTACCTGGACCTCTGAACCAAAGTACATGGACTGTAACAGTCTTCATCATAATCATCATCATTATCATAGTAAACAGCAAGACACCAAGTAGAGTCAGAATTAGCTACATCATAACTTCTAAAGTCTAACTTCTAACTCAGTTCCACCTTTTATAAGACAGTCAAGTTCAGTGCTCACTTTTAAGAAGCATCTAAAAACGCATCTCCTTATCTTCTAATTTGATCTGTTTCATTTTCTTCTGATACTAAATAAATACTCATGATTTCTTGTATAACTATGTTTTATCACCTGTCTGTAAAGCCACCGGCATGAAAAGTGCTATATAAATAAAAAATATTATTATTAATTATTATTATTATTATTCTGTGATCAGTAATGTTGAATAGAATTTTCCATGAGGTCCAGTTTTATGTACACTTATAAAAAAAGATGGTGCTTTAAGGGTTCTTTAGTAAAGAAAATGGTTCTGTATAGAAACATGAGTACTCAAAGAGCCCTTTGCATGACTAAAGGATTCTTTGTATCATGAAAGCGTTCTTCAGACTGATAGAAAATGTGCATGAATGGTTATATAGCATCCAAAAGGGTTCTTCTATTATTACAAGCTTGACACAGTAACAGTAGAAAAACACTTAGGTGCTATATAGAACCATTTTCAAAAAGGTTCTATATAGAACCATCTACAGCAACACAATCCATCAATCTGAAGAATGCTTTCATGGTGCAAAGAACCCTTTAATCATGCAAAGAGCTCTTTGAGTGTTCATGGTTCTATATATAACCATTTTCTTTACTACTACTAAGAGTCCTTGAAGCACCACTTTTTTTTATACCGGAAAAGCTCAAAATTCATTTTTGCATGATCATTTTCCAACCCTTTTTTTAATTAAAAAGGCTGTTTTTGTTCATATGTTTTTTAAGAGTGACATAAGTAAATGACCTCTGTTCTGATTGCCCTGTGTTGTGCCTCATTTATAAAGCAGTCCAGGCTGAAACACTCCTTATAATTTCAACTTTAGTGGGCAGAGCTAAACAGCTGTAGGCTGCACAGGTGATGTATGTGAATGTGTTGGTTCTCGTGATAAAACCAATTGATTAAAACATTTACTGGAAAACAGTGAGGAAATTTCAGGCCCATTAAATACTGTGCATTTAGCTTTGTTCAGGTTTGCCCAGGGGACAATTCTATTGCTCAAATGACGATTTTCCTAAAATTCTTTATGAGAAACAGCATCACACAAAGATGGAGGAAACAGAAAGGAGAGATAGAAGTCAATTAAAGATACACAGGTGTGTTAGTATCTTAGCAAATATGAGCACAATGGATGACTGTTGAGATCTATTTTCAAACTTTAGAGGAGACATGATGATGTGAGATCACTAGGGTCCTTTTCTCAGGAGAAACAACTGAGTAGCAGAAGACTTTAACCAAAATCTGCTTAGTCTTTGCTTCTGATCTCATTGTTGTCTAGGAGAAACTACAGAGATATTAAGGAGATCTGTTTTTAGGTTTATTCCCCATGGATGGTGCAGAGTTTGCTGATTTCTCTAACACACCTATGTGACTTGAGTTAGTTGTGTTTGAGCAAGGAAATCATCCAACTGTGCTGGACTAAGACTCTCCAGTTCTGCAGTGGAGCATCTTCACACTATATGTTTGATATTACCACTATTACAGTAAATTGCATCACTACCCGTACACGCGTCACCATTTTGACTTCTACCATCTCGTCACTGTCACACTGCACTGTGCCCTGGCCATTTCTCCTCATTTCTGCGTTAAATCTCACATGCTTTTTTTAGAGAGCTGTCAGGGTGGGAGGTCATGAGGGGAGGCAGATTTGTTCCTGTCAGTCCCTTTTTTGTACAACAAGAAAATAATGATTAGAAATATTCGACTGCAACTACATTTGTATTTCAGTAAAAAGTGTACTTAATTATAAAACATGCATAAACTACAAAAGTTCATTTCCTGACAAAAACCTGAGTGATTGCATTGTTTATACGGTTCTCTTGCGTTGCCAGATGGATGCTAGATGGTTGCTAGTGTGTTTCACGTCGTTGCTATATTGCTCCAGGTGGCTGTTGAGGTGTTGCTAGGCAGTTGCTATAGTGTTTTGGATGGTGTTGTTAGGTGGCTACTATCGTATCCAATGGTGGTTTTTAGGGTGTTACTGGGTTGTTGTCACGGTATCCCTAGTGGTTGCCATGCAGTTGCCATGGTGTTGCAGCTTGTTGCTATGGTGTTGCTAGATGGTTACTATGGTATCCAAGGTGGCTGCTAGGGTGTTGCTAAGTGGTTGCTATGATATTCTAGGTGGTTGCTAGGCAGTTGCTATGGTATCCCACAGGGTTTCTAGGGTGTTACTAGTGTACTTCAGTTGTGGTGACATAAGAGGGGTGTACAAACTTTTGGCCACCTAGTTCACCATTCTTTCCTAGCCCACATCTCACATTTACATTTTGGAGTTGATATCTCAAAAAATGATGATAATAATAATAATAATAATAATAATAATGATAAGAAGAAGAAGAAGAAGAAGAATGTAAGTTGGATAACAACAGTGTTGCACTTTGCAAGGCATCACTAAAACATTCTCACGTGTTGAGATAGAAAGAGAAGATGGGCTTCTCCAATTTGTTCTGGTTTATCAGGTTGTCAAAGACAGGTGCTCCCAGTTCCTCAGCCAGGGTGGGATAACTCAGCCCCAAAACACCATCAAACTTGGTCATGACGAAGGACATGCCAGGCTCATACACGGACTCCCCGAACTCCTGATTCTCCACAGCCAGTGAGCCCACCTGCACAACACAGTGGCTGAAACAACACACACTCACTAGAGGTACAAACCATGGCAGGCAGGGGACTCGAGAGACTGAACGATCAGTTTATAGATTTATAGTACTTGTTCTGTTGGGCCATTGCTTGGGTTCCACCTGCTGGCAGCTTACTTCACATTATACACAAAAACACACAAGGAGACAGAGTTTTATCACTTCCTGAGAGTCTCTTTTGGCCCACTAGTTTCATGTTCATCAATGTTCAAGTAGTATTTGGGACCCATTTGCTTTTTGTGGGGCGTATAGGGGGGAGAGGGGCACAAACTAACATGTAACATGGACTTTTTATGTAGTTACACAGTTTAACATGTTTTTGGTCACATTCTTGTTTCCCATAGTGATGCCATTTTATGAATTCTGACAGCAATCAAACAGATATTTCTTAAAGTTTACCTTGAAGACAAGTTTTTTAAAAACCTTTTTAAGTCACAGAATTCACATCTGTATTATATTCATTACTCTTTTGTTGGCTGTAATGTAGCTCTACTTTGAAGCATATAAAAAACTCTACTATGAGAAAAGGCCATAGGTCCCAATATAACTATTTGGAAGTTTATATGCACAGATTCATCAAAAACACTGCTTTCAGCTAAGGTGGTCATAAACGGTAGGCACTAGAGACAAAGTTCATTTGTATCTGAGATGTGCAAGTTTCTTTTGTACAAATCTTATTCTTTTTGCTTAAATACTTGGTTTTAAACTATTTAGCAAAATATAAAATGTGTTAGGTTGTGCCTCACTGTCCCCTACAACTTCATTATTGCCAGAATAAGGAAACTCCCAACTACAGGCTAAACTACATTAATATCAGCTTTATAATCAAGACACCATCCTCTGGACAAAAAAAGTGTAGTGCTCAGAGAACAAGGCCTGATCTAACAAACTTCTACTGGACAGGGGCTGTGGCATTACCTTCAGCAGGTCTTTAGCCAGCACCCCCAGCAGGTGTCCAGAGCCGTAATGGATGCCAAAGACTCGGCCGTCACGAATGTAGGTGCTGGACTCGAAGGCCTTGAACTTGTGGTGCGAAGCTGTGCCAAGAGAGGAACACAGTGACCTGATAACTCACGAGCTTCGGTCATTATCAGAAACAAACATGGACTGATAGGACTACATTAAACGCTGATCTGGACAAAACTGTATTACTGAGAGTAAACATACAGCTTTACGTTGGTCTTTTAAAGAATATGAACAAGAAAAGTCTTGGCGTACCTTTAAATCAGTGTTTGAGACACAATGTATAGAAAATTCTTGATAATTTTCATGTGAAATATTCAAAACAAATACTGTTAATTGCAACTACTGTGAACTGATTATTCAGTATTAATCTTTCAACTTGCTTTCAAGTAACTACAAGACATTATTCTGTGACAATTATGAAATTAATACGCATGTTAATTAAGGTTGGGACTACATACAGGCCCTTGCAGTTTAGCAGATTAATCAATATGGAATGACTGGAGAATGTTGGAAGCATTAGTGTGGATAGTGAATGTGTCCAATACCACATGCTGGACTGACGCAGTAGAAGGAGGGCACCCATAGGTCAGCTGAGCCGGTGTCAAACACCACCGTAAAGTTCTGCCCTGGCGTTCCGAGACTGATCAGACCAAAGTACTGCGCCTTCACAACACACAGTACATCTGCTTACTTACACTGGTCCAGGATCTCAACAGGTTGGCACTGCAGTATGCAGCTGTAAACCTAATTACAGCCCTTGCAGCAGCAGATATTACTTGATAACTATTGATGGACTGATTGAGTAATTTTTTTCCTAAAAGCAGTTTGAAAAAGAGTAGTAGTACAAATGTATTACTCTTTTGCTTCAACAGTATATTTGTGAATGCAAATGAAAACCCAAGTCCTTGGGGCCCACCTAACAGGTTCCACATTTTAGCTCTATCCCAAATCCCACCACATAGATTTAGAACAAAAACACGGAACTGTCTGGTGTCCACCAAAGACTTGAGAAACACTACACATAGTAAATCCCACTAATTTAAAAGAGAATTCCACAGAATTTCCAAAATTTTCCACTTTAATTGCAGCAATATGAACAAAGTCATTCAGAGTGGTTTAATGATAAACAGTACACTGCTACAACAATTAACAACAGATTTCTCAGTGATGACGGGTCATGATGTCTACAGTACAAATATAAACATTTAATTTGAACCTACATGTGTAATATATATATATATATATATATATATATATATATATATATATATATATATATGTATATATGTGATATGTAATGTTGATAATTATAATGATATTTCCATATATAATGTAGAATATTTTACTATACACTGAACTGAACTGTCACTGGAGTGGCACCCTGAAAGGTATGTTTTCAGTACTTAGGAACATAATTGTACCATATTTCATTGCAATTATATATTGTTAATTGTTTTAATTCCATACACCCTGTCTTGACTCTAGGCTTTTTATTCTATGGTTCTGTTTTTAAACATTAGGTTATAAAAAAAGTTACAGATATGGTCCTTTCTCCTGTGAAAAATGTATTTAAGGTCCACAATTGGAACTTAAAACCACTGGTGTACCTTTGAGGGTTCATGTACATTGCCCTGTGATGAAAGAAATATATAGACATTAAACACTCCAAATGTCTGGTTCCTATCATGGTTTGAACAGTTCTGACTAAAATAGTGCCTTTTGCCTCAAATCATTCTTAGGTTACATTTTGACATCTTATTTAACTATTCAGGAATTTTGAGAAATCAGTGGAATTCCCCTTTAACCTCTAGTAGGACTTCAGGCTGAATATGTGCATATTTGAAAGCTGATGTCACTCACATCCATGAAGTTGTACAGTCTCTCTGCAGCTTTGCCCGGTTTGAGAGACACTAAGGTCGGTGGGTAGCACTGGGCGTAGCGCCGGGAGAAAACATCCACCTGATGATCCTTTAGAAAGTCCTCCAGCTGGTCATTGGCTCTTAAATGGCTCCTCAGAGAGGGCTTCTTAGTCAGAGGTATCCTTGGATTTAAAGACTAGTCATACACAGTGCTGAGTAGCATTGGTAAAATTCAGTATCACAATATTTACCCAGTACATTGCGCTCTCAGATGCTATTTAAGTTAGTATGAAGCTAAAACCTTTCTTCCTGAGTGCTGGTAATGTGTGCTAAAAGAATGTCTTACAAACCTGACAAAGTTTCTTTACACTCTCTTGTTCAGTTTTCTTTTGAAACTAGAAGGAGGCTTACATAGTATAGTTTAAATTAATAGTAAGGACATTTTTCATGTATTTTGAACTGCCCTGAAACACCCAGCAAATTACATATCATCGCAGTTGGGTCTCCATTTTTGTCATTTTTCTCCTTTTTTAACATAATTGAAATGCCAGCAGGCCATTATATTGTGTCAAAGGTTCATGGCAAACAGACCAATAGAAAAGAGACATAAAAAATCTTGTTATAGTTACCTACACTGAAAGTTTAGAAAGTTTTTTCTCTTCCTGTAAAGTCACCATTTTGGAGATATGAGATTCAACAGCAATGATATACTGCAGATTTTGGACATTTGGACATGTAAAATTTAATAAAAAAAACAAACAGTTTGCATTATCTTTATCTTTTTCGCTAACAACAAAAATACTTGTAATGGCAAAATATCACTCGGCACCAATCATACAGAATCAACTTGTTTCAGTAGTGTTTCTTCCAGTGAGTTATTCAGCTTTAGTAGGCTGAACACCCACTTTAGCCTCTGTGGCAGAGACTCCTGAACTTACTCTATTGGATTTGGCCTTCTGCATTTTCTTACCTTACCAGGCCTCGAACACAACACAGACAGCACAGCAGCAGAAGCAGAATTCGCTTCATCCTGACTATTTGACAGCCTCTGCCTTTCATACAAAAGAGGTGATCAGGCATTTATTCAGCTCGTAGTCACCCTACTGAGCCAATCATGACAGGGTTTAGTGTTTGTGTGGGTCAGGTCACTGAAAAAGGCAAAAGGTCCAAAGTCTCTACGCTTTATGCTTAAAGCACTTCTAAACTGTCATATTTTCATGCTTAAATGGACTGTTATGTGGACCATTCTACCAAATTATTTGAAAATGTGGTCCCACAGTGAAAAAAAAAAATTAAAAACAATCAGGTATTCAGACCTTAGATATTTACTAAGATAATGCTATGAACTATTTAAACCCAAGGTATTAACCGAGATGATAATAAGCTAAATATATACAAAATCATCATTTACAGGGTACTTTCTGTCTGTCCCCTAAATTAAAAAAAATTATCTATATTTTTATTTCAGCCTTGTTTTTAAAAAGATCTTTACTGACTTCTTCTGAAGCTGAAATATTTCAATTTAATAAGAGTTGAATTAATTTAAATTTTTTTTTTATGCTGACTCAAGTTTTCATGTCACTATGAAAACACAAAGAGTTTTAGTCCATAGGTGGAGCCTTATTTTAGCCAAGCCCTTGAATTTTTGAGCAGGAAGTGGGACTGCATCCCTGTCACTCCTGGCCACATGGTAAGCAGTTAGATCCCATTGTTTTAAAGTAAATCACTGTAATATTAAGAATTGTAACTACCTAAACATATATTTTTTTTAACAATGAATTTGTTTTTTTTAATTAAAAATACATGTGTGTACAACTGTTCAAAGCTGTTAATCAATGCCACTGGAAAAGCCATGTTATATAAACTTACTAGAATAAACATTCTTCCACTACCAACAGTCCAGTCTATCAGTATACATTATGCATAGCATGTAAACTATGCAAGACAGTAGAAAGATTAGTGATCAAACATCTACAATATAGTCTGAAAATATAGTGTGAATTTAGATTAATTTCAGGTTGCCTCAGCCTTTCATTCAGTTAAACACTGTCCTAAAAGAATGATGCAATAAGGTAGCTAAAAGGCATAAAGTTGCAAGAAAAAGTAAGTGAACCTTTTGGAATTACCTGGATTTCTGCATTGAATACTGATAAAAGGTGGTCTGATCGTTATCCAAGTCATAATTATAGACAAACACAATCTAACTAAACTAATAACACATAAACCTCAGCATCTCAATGGGATTGAGGACAAGACCCTGACTTGGCCATTCTAAAACACAAATCTTCTTTTTCAACCACGCTTTAGTTGATTTACTTGTGTGCTTTGGGTTATTGTCTTGTTGCATCACTCAACATCTCTTCAGCTTGAGGTCATGGATTGCTGTCCTTACACTCTTCTGTAAAATGTTTTAATACACCATTGAATCATTGTTCCCTCAACAATCTCAAGGTGTCCACAGGCCCTGAAGCAGCAAAGCAGCCCAAACCCATGATGCTCCCTCCACCATGCTTCACAGTTGGGAAGCATGGTGGAGGGTGTTTTGGTGTGGGTGTGTAATGTCTTTTTTTCCTTCAAACATGGTGTTGTGCATTTGTGCTAGGAGGTTCCACTTTTGTCTCATGTCCAGAGAACATTTTCTCAGAAGCACTGTGGAACAACCAGGTAGTCTTGTGCAAATTCACAACACCTGTGATGTTTTTTTTTTTGGACAGCAGCTGCTTTCTTCATGGTGTCTTTCATTGAACACCACTCGTTTAGTTTTTCTAACAGCTGACCCACAAACAAAAGCTTGTATAGTCTTCTGTAAGTCTTTTGCTGTTACCCTTGGGTTCTTTCTCAGCTCTTTCAGGATTCTCTGTTGTGCTCTTTGAGTGACCTTAACAAGATGCCCATTCCCAGGGACAGCAACAACTGCTATGAACTTTCTCCATATGTTGGCAATTTGGGATTGACTGATGTACACCCAGGTCTTCAGCAATGCTTTTGTAGCCTTTCCACCATCATTCGTCTCTACAACACGTCTTCTGAAAGTTGTTTGCATCGAGGCATGGCTCACACTAACCTTTCTTAAGAAGAACAGATTGGTCAGTAAGCAGTCTTTGTGTGCTGCCTTTATTTAATGGGCAAAGCACCTGTGAAACCCACACTTTGAATCTCATCTCAAATAAAACATCTTTTGCCAATTAGCTCTTGGAGAAGTCATTAACAAAGAGGTTTGTGTGCTTTTTCTAGCCTCCACTGTGGAGGCTTACTCAGTGTGCTCAATAAAAGAAATGAAAAGTACAACTGTCTGTGTGTTATTAGTTTATATTGTGTTTGTCCACAGACAACAATCAGTCCACATTCTATTGTAATCAATGTGGAAACCCAGGTAATTCCAAAGGGTTCACTAACTGTGAACTGTATTTAAGGATGTATTCACTACACCACATTCAATGCAAACAACTACTACAGTTGCATGCAAAAGTTTCAGCACTAAAGTCATATATGTGTGCTAATGCACAATTACTTGTTTAAGATACATTAGATTATTAACTGTTCATAACTTTAAAGGACTTTGTTACGTATGGTTCTTTCAGTCATCAGTAATGGATCAGTAAAACTGAATAAAGAAAGGAAAAGGTACATAAACGTGTCCTAAAGTTTTATTATGGAGTAAACAAAAAAACGCCACACTGTCAACATGTTTGAATAAGGACATGGCAGACAGCCTCTGCAGTGCTAACACTGTAACAGCACAGTGACTCAAAAGCAAAGAGACCTTAGACGAATGAAGCTGTCTCAGGTAATAAATACACAGGCTGCTCCTCACTATTTCTCTTGCTGTTCTCCTCCTATGTCTGCTTAACATGGGTGGTGGTCTGGTACTCGTTTCCTGAAAGACAAAAAAAAAAAAATGACGGCAAGCGATGAGTCATCATAACACACTGTCTCACACTCACACAGTGATGCAGCATTTTTCTCTCTCCAAACTGCGTCATTCCTCCCAGTCTGCTTCTGAACCTAAAAACGCATGCTGTGAAGTAAATGAAAAGCCCAACTACCACAAATGCTAATCTAAAAGATGAACTACAAAAGGTGTTTTACTGCCCTCTCTTGGGCAGTTAGGCTAAAGGTCAGCAGTTGTCCAGACTCACCTGGGTGCTGCCTTGATGATGTTGTCTACGCGGAGGATCATCTCGGCAGCCTCAGCAGCGCTCAACAGGACCTGCCTCTTCACCTGGAAACTCTCTGTAATGCCCAGCTCTGCCATGTCACCGATCTTTCCCCGCGTCATGTCTGAATCAGAGCAGGGGACAAGGATTAGAGGTCAGAAATTAAGCTTAATAAGAGCCAAACAATGGCTTTGCATACTAGTGAAAATACAATATATAGTCTCTGGACAACAAATTAGCAACCCTTTTCTATAAAGCTGAAGAAAGGGGTTATATATTGACAGCCACAATCTTGCAAGAACAAACTAAACAGCGATAAATAAACTGGCATTAAAAATTAAAACAGACCAAAATGATTTTAAAAAACAACGAAAATTTTAGTATTAAAAATCATGAAGAGCTAAAGTAAGCAAAAAAAATGCATGATATCCGGATTCTGGCTCTGTAAATAAAGCAGTTATACTGCCAACTTAATCATCCACATTACTTTATCAGAGTAAGAAAAGAACAAGTAAAGTTTTAAGCAAATTCATCAAGGCCTCTACGCATGTGTGTGTTGGTACTGCCGCAGAGCTGAACTCACCCAGGCCAAAAGTGGTTTTGTTCTCCTGGTGAGCTGCTCTCAGCTGGGCCACAAGGTCTGCGCTGTCATAACCAGCATTATCTGCAATAATGGTCGGTAACTACGACAAAAAACACACAAGTTTGTTAGGCTGTCCTCCAGTAGAAAGAGTAAACTACCAACAGATCTGAAGGCAGATAAACTGTATTTAATCAGGAATTTTAAAAGAAAAAAAAAAGTACTAGAGATTTTTTTAACCTTGACAGCAAGTTAGAAGCACTGCATTCGTACAATTCACAGAGAGATCGGTAAGAAATCTGGACCCAAGTGGCTCAACAGACTAAGAAGTTTGTGCCCCATTACTGGGACCAGAGTTGGATTCCCAATGTCACATCGAGTGCAAAAGGGCTGTAGATTGAATGTTTGCTAATACAGAGCATCTCTCAGATATATAAGCATTTAGGATTTACTGCTCACCTCCAGGCTTGTTCAGCCGTCCTACTACATCGAAAACATGCAGTGTAATCCCCCCCCCTCTTGGTCCCACTAAAATCACTGACCACAGCTTTAAGTGTTAGAGAAGAGCACTCAGGCACCAGCTCTCACCATTCTCAGTGCTTTGGCAAAGGACTCCATTGCTACTGCTTCTTTGCCTGGGGTTCTGCTGGCTAAGTCTGTCACCACTTTAGCCATCAACATTTCTGAACAACCTACAGGAGGTCAGAAAAACAAAAACAATTCTTAATTTCCCATATACTGATCAAATCTTAAAAAAAAATCTACTTTTGTGAGAAGTGGAACATTTGAAACAGGAGGAACAAAGCGGTGTCCAGGGCTAAACTAAAAGAAGAGGTGAAAATGATTCAGAAGGGGACAAAAAGGGAACGAATGAGTGGAGGAGAGACTGGGAGAGTGAAGAGAGATTACTAACCTCCTCCATAGACAGTGCGAGTCTCTTTAACAGTCTGAGCCAAAACGCACAGAGCATCATGCAGAGAACGCTCTGCCTCATCCAGAATCTGCTGAGTCGCCCCACGGAGAACGATAGTGCAGGCCTCACCTGGGCACAAACACACAAAGTCATCTACTGTGCCGAAACACACGAACTGGGCATTTCTTATCTAGCTTAAATCCGGAATGTATAGGTAAAGAAGCTGTTTAAATCATTATAATTCTAAAGCATGTGGGCCTACACACACACACACACACACACACACTCTCATACTCATAACTACTAACTTACAAACTAGTTTCATATTAGATACTAAATGTTGATATTAGCGCATACATACATACACACACAACGTAAA